TGCCCAGACTCGCGGGAGCGGATAGCTGAGCCAGGCAAGCTGACCGCCACCGTCTACTGGGACCCACCTCGCGTGAAGGACTCTGCTGACGGCATCATCAAGAGGTGAGGGCAGAGGTGCTGTGGGCACAGCTGGCAAGGCGTGGGCTGGATGCCGCTTTCCAGGACCCTGATGAAGAAACCTGTCTGCTGGGTGCAGGGTGATGCTGCGGGGCCCGGAGCCTGGTTCTGAATTCCCTGAAGGAGAGCACGTGATCCGCTACACTGCCTACGACCAGGCGTACAACCGAGCCAGCTGCAAGTTCAGTGTCCGTGTCCAAGGTGAAGTGGGCTCCCTCAGGGGTCCCAGCTGCACTCCCCCACCTCTCTGGGCTCGGCACCCCATGGCCAGGGCTGTGCCCCATCTCCCCTGGTTCTTACCCAGCCTCCCTCTTCTCAGTGAGGCGCTGCCCTATCCTGAAGCCTCCGCAGAACGGCTACCTGTCCTGCACCTCCGACGGCAACAACTACGGTGCCACCTGCGAGTACCTGTGTGACGGGGGCTATGAGCGGCAGGGCACGTCCCTGCGGGTCTGCCAGTCTACTCAGCCGTGGACGGGCTCCCAGCCCCTTTGTGCACGTAAGTGGGGCAGGGGAGGACCTGCCCACTGTGATGCCTGGTGCTCGAGAGCGATCCTGCCCAGCACAGCAAAGGGGTGAGGGAAGGGTTATGGCAGGAAAAATGGCATCCTCTCACACACACTTGCCTCTTGCCCCAGCCATGCAGATCAACACGGACGTCAACTCGGCTGCCAGCCTGCTGGATCAGTTCCACGAGAAACGCCGCCTCCTCATCATCTCAGCCCCTGACCCCTCTAATCGCTACTATAAGATGCAGATCTCCATGTTGCAGGTGAGGAGACCCTTCTGCTGCCCCCTGCCCCACACCCTGCACCCTCTCACCACCACCCCTTTCCCACAGCAAGCAGCCTGTGGGCTGGACCTGCGACACGTCACCACCGTGGAGCTGGGGGGGCAGCCCCCTCATGAGTTGGGACGCATCCGTGAGCACCAGCTGTCCCTCAGCATCATCGAGGAGCTCAGGTAGGGGGCACAGGGGGCTGTCCTGCAGAGCTGGGTGCCTATGCAAGGGGACTGGGGATGAGGACACCTCTGGGGATGGCCAAGCAATGAGGTTGAAACTAGGTTGGTGGGTGGCCCCTTCCTGCTAAAAAAAGGACACCCCCCCAGCCAGTCTGAACACAGCATCACTAGACCCTCCTGGAGGTCACAGCCCTGAGGAAGTGATGGGAGCCATCACCCCAGAAGGACCTGAGCACGGCTCTGTGGGGTGGGCAGGCTCAGCCCTCAAGAGCGCCCCCAAGGCCTGACCATGGGCTTTCCCTCGCACCCCCA